AAAGGATGGAAGTGAAAAACAATAACAAAAATTAAAAAAAATTTTTAAATTCATTAAATATTGTAAGATCGACTTGCTACCGATGCTTTACCGCTGTCTGCAGCGCACACACTTGTGTTTTACGTACGCACAACATTTTCACGCAGTTAATGTTATGGAGCCAGTGGGTTGTGTAGAACCAGCCCGTACGTTGTCTGGCCAACGTGACGTCACACTTCGGTACTCTATAGTAATCTCTGTAGTACGGACGTGAGTCAGCGCTACCATGGCGCTACACAGCCGCGACCGGAAGCAATACACTGGCCACAAAGCGAGAGACAGTCGCAGTAAATACTGATCTTGAGTCGGTTTTCGGCAAAAATACCAGATTTTCACCGCTCATTATCTCAGTGTAGGAGCATCGTAGGAACAAGCGGTTTGTTTTATATTAACAAGGTAGGACAGCTGATCAATAATACCGCAAAGAATCGCCAAAATAAAACGACCAAAGTTTCTTAATTCGACTAATACCGCAACATGGTTTCACCATTTCACCGTTGTACGCTCTCCTTCTTTATACGCTCTGGATACTTACCCTCTGCACCAAACAGTTCTATGTAAAATATTTCATCATTCTCCGGTTCCTCGTCATCTCTCACAACGACACTAATGGCTCGCTCGTATACGCCAGCTGGGAATACTAGGAGGTCACCATCAATCGCCATGTAGTCCTGCAAATAAACGTGTTTTGTACAGACCATGTATGTCGCACACCTCTAATGCTTCACACCATACTCCAGACTATAATGTTCTCTGTGAATGGTATAAGATTACATATCTAGGAGAGGGAATCAATGCACTTTTTATCACCTCCGAATTAAGATTAACAGCGACAGATGTACTATAAGCATATTGACATGTGTTGCAAACACAGACCAAAATTCTCTCTTAACATTGCATCATTTATTAATTTACTGAACCAAAACAATATACCGTATTATTACGTGAAACTGCCCAGATGACAACGGGAATACGTGGACTTACCTGGTTCGCAATGGCTGTCCCAGGAATGGTGCGATATCTAATAGATGCAGGGTGTTCTATAGAGCCATTTCGCCGCACTGTGAACTGTACCACACCAGGTTCTTCTGCAAACTTGTTCACTGGATCTATAAGTTGTATTGGAAAAATAGTATTACTATATATTGGTATTATTATATTTATATTTATATTACCTTAGTAAGAATAGTACTTGTGTATATACGTGTGCATGTGTGCATGCATGTATGTACGTGTGCGTGCGTAGTTTCACAGTATTACTGTCACTCTACAGAAATGCTATGGTGTCCTTACATGTGTCTGCCCTGTAGAGATATAACCCCTAACACAGGGTTGACAACTTGTAGATCTCAACACAATCAATTGCAACATCTATATCACTCGATGCGACTTACCAGCAAAAAACACAGGGTCGTCATTCTTCTTGACGGTGAGCACAGCAGATGTAGGGGCTGTGAGGCGATACTCCATGCTTGCATCTGGCTCCTCTAGCACAATTGTGAAATTCTCATCATCCTCTGGGATCTACACACCCAACAACCAGTTGTAGTCACTGCACATCGTGTGTGTATCACTCACATATGTGTAGAAGATAGAGTATATTGCGTCATGACGGGTTTTTTGCTTGATTAGATGTCGTTGAGCAACAATATAACTTACTATTATATAAATGAAAGCAAAATGGTTCACCACTTTTAATTCCTCAGATCAATAATGGTCTGACAGACCAACAAATATGTCACACGTACCTCATCAGGGGCAGAGCTCAGGAGCATTGTGGCTGCTGACTGACCATCCTGGAAGCTAACAGTGCCATTCAGTGGTGTCACATCTGTATTCCCTTTAGGCAGTACGTGCCACTTCAGAGTGACTGGACTAAATTTGCCTCGATCTCGCATCACCGTAAATTCTGCACGTATGGTATTATTGCCTTTACTTTCTCCTGAAAAACACATAAATATCTATCTATGAAGTGCACACCCCGTGCGAAAAAATTACAATAAACTTTTAGGATACTGCCTAGAAGTAAAAGAATAATTCGTGCAGAAGCTCTTACCTAAGCTATAACAATATAATCTGTTAATATGCGGAAAAAAATGGAAAATTCCTATATAGCTATACACACCTATAGTATGGCGTAGAGCACTGGCATCGAAATGGAACATGCCATAAGGATCGTCATTTTTAGAAATGGTGATGTTAATAGCTGATTTTGGACCAATGTCGGACACCTTTTCCCCGTAGCTGATTAATTGCAGCACGTACTCCTCATCCAGCTAAAAACAGATAAAACACCAATTCTTCTCACGGCAATACACGTTCCCTCCTGTGCGATATTCAAGCAATTACGAGCTGCTATAGCATCTTCCTGAAGTGTTAATTATGCTTCAACTCTACTATCATTTTAACTGTAACCTTTGTAGACAGAGAAACAACTACAAAATTCATACTAAATATTCGGGCCCAACACTATGCATAATGAAAACTTATATTCTGTTTTACACACCTCTGGGATTCCATCTGGGACAGCAACGACAGTAGCTGTTTTGAACCTTTCTCCAGCTTCAAATTTCAACACGTTCGTTCCACCATAGAATTCCTCATCTGCTTCATTCTTCTGGTCTGAGCTGGGACTAATAAAGATCTGCACCTCTCGTTTCACCAGCATCCCACCTGACCTCTCTACTGCCACTTCTAGTGCTGGTCCATCTTCCTGTGATCCAACACACATGACAACCAATTCACAACCATAAAGCAATGTGGTGGTGTGATCAATGACTTTTTAAACCCACGAGAATATTAAGCTAGGGTATTCTTCCTTAGACAAAGAACTATATACAGTATTAACTATGATGAGATGCGTTTTGATCCAACATATGCACATGTGATAAACTAATCATCACATTACATGCAGCATATTAAAGTTAAGTGGGTTGTATAATCAATTATTCCAAAACAAGGTGGTGTTCCAGATTTCCACATTGAATCAGCTCATTATTATTATAAGCATTAGCATCATGCACACATTAGTTTATTACACACATGCAATTACCTCAAGCAGGTAGCTGAGATTCATAGCTGGAGAAAACTGAAATGAGCCACCAGGTGCATCGTTTTCACGCACGACAACCTTCACCTGCCTAGCATTCTCTCGTAGCTTCTGATTGGCTGGCTGTACACTTATGAGATTTACTGTAATTTCTTCATCTGTTTCAGGCACATTGTCCGGCATGATTTTTATGTTGATATATCCCATATTTGAACCTGTAATATCATGCTTTAAGTATAGTATGTTTTTGGGGAGATAACCACAAGCATGATTTATACACGTTGTTTGGGTGTAACACATTTACACTCATTTACTAACAGCATATTCTTTACATTGGATTTTTGCCCATTGTAGTTTTCATTGTGGCAATTACTAATCACACCAGTATGACTAGTGTAGCTAATAATGCCAAACCTGCATCAACAATTAACGCCACAGAACAGATACCTAGAAGGCCAATTTTTGCATATCCTTAAAGTGACCCATATACATAGGTTTGAATGCATATCTGTCACTACACATTTATCTCACATGTTATGACTGAATGTGTATGCTGATCAATTTGCCACTGAATAAAAAGCTCGTACATCACCTTACCAGATTTAATCAGTACAGTGCCATTTCTGTTGCCATTGTCCTTTGATGTACTGCGCCCATCCTTATCTTGTGAGCTATGAGAGCGCCACACAACATATGCGTCACCTGCTAATCCTTCTCTTGACACTTCCAGGGGGACCTTTCCAAGCAGAGTAAAATTTATTACCAGAAATTAGCAAAAAGTCTGCATGCACCAGTCTGTTAAACGAAATGAATATTTTGTGAGGTGATGTTGCAAACCAATTTTTGCATATTGCATTAGAGTAGTAACAGGGCCATATTTTGACTAGTGACAAATCTTGTTCAGTGAGTCTATCAGTGGTCACCATTGCTTAACATACCATCAAGGGCTTGTCATCCGGTTCATTAACATAAATTGTCTCTACTGATGTAAACCCTATTTCTCCATTGGCGAGGGCAGCAGGCACAGGAATTGATGCTCTATCTTTGTGACCGATTCGCGGACTTAGAGACCCAGGAACTGGAGGCACACCTGTATATAAAGACCTTATTTGTTTTATATTCATACAGTAATTACTCTACTATAAGTATGCAAATAATCTCAATGCAGAAGTATTCAGAATAAGCCATCTAGTCCTTGATTTGTAGTACTCTACACCCATTGCATTTCACCGAGCTTGATTAATAACACGTAAAATGTTATGAAACAAAAATGTGGTAAACTACATATTGAAACCGTTTTAAATGAACGTACGCGACGCTCTCGAGAGCGTGACATCAAATCTGCCACCAACACGCAGAAAAGCAGTGTCCATGATTGGAATTGTGAAGATTGTACTTGTCTGGCCATCGGCTAGCACAATAGGTGAAGCAGCATGGCAACCAGAGCATGCAAATGTACCTAGCACTCCTGCAATATTAAACAGACTTAGATGCAAATATCTAATTGCATATGGTATATTACTTATTAACGTTCAATTATATAGTTTTAATCGGATGTTATAGTAGACGAAAACGCATAGTTTATTCTGATTAACAGTTAGCATGCAAGCTATAGCTTGTTTTTGACAATGCCATGTTTATATTATGTCACACAAATATATTGTGATTGTGTTCTTTTTAAACGGACAACCTTACATAGAACTTCCATGCAAAGACAACAAGCATATTAAACATTTTATTTTTGCAACAATAAAGGCAATTTTGCAGATAAAAGGTTAACTTGACAAAAACTTACCAGATTCTGTTTTGTCCGTATTGTGGTCTGGGTAATAATCAGCCACAAAGTCGACAGAGATGTTCCCAAAGCTTCCACCACCTCTCACAAGCAGAAGTGACAGATGTCTCACTGTTGCAGCCTGTCATGATTAATATATAAAGAACTCTTACATCATACCATTATGCAATAGATGCCACCATGGCACTCAACAGGATATTCTCAGTACATAATTATCAACTGAAAATACTAATTACCGTGTTCAATGTTTGCAATGAGTTTGGCCCAAATTCCACCAGTCCATGGGCATCATCACTATCCAAGACAAACAGTGATGTCTCAGATGGGTTTTGAAGCCTAGCACCACCTGTTACACTTCCCGGCAACAGCCTCACGAGAAAATGCTCTGCTGGCTCTGGTTGACTGTCCTGATTAACGCTGAACCGTATTACTTTTTCCTTCTCGCCTACAACAAAAGTTATAATTTTATATGATGTTGTAAAGTGAATACATCAAGAATTTTCGGTCAGTGGTTAAAGAGACAAATCTAGTCTACAAAAATCTTCTTACACATAACAATGATTTCAGAGATAAGATTGAAGCTAGTGAAACCCTTCAATTCGCATAGTTAAGATAACAAATTAAAAATAATAAGAGCCTATAAATATTAGATGTAAACTTAACACATTCTGACCTTCATAGAACGTCAGCCTTCCTCCGGTCGGGTTCATGTCTGCACTGACTGGATCATTGTCGTTATCAGTTCTGATCACCTCCCACTGAACGGTCACTGTACCAAATGAGCCACCTCCGCGCAGAACAGTCAACTCGACGGACGGTGCGCTATCCTCGCTCACGGTCAGTGCTGGAGATTTACCGGTCACTGGCGACAGGAAACTCAGGACACCATTGTGATCATCATTGGATTTAATGATAACGTTCATCTTGCTGGGTTCCGCTATGACTGCATCTCCACCAGGATGGGATAGCATGACCTTGTATTATCAATTAAAAGCTTTCATTTAACAAAGTATCTAATCAAAAATTAATAGTAATGAAAATCGAGGTTTTTATGATGAAATTTTTCTTTCAATATCAGGCTTTAATTGCTGAAAAAGGTTAGCGACAAAAATTTGAGTTCATCGTAACACTGGAAAACTGTAGTAGTATCCTGGGGGCCGTTGTCAGAAACAAAATTAGTCTTAACATTAGTCTTAACATTAACTTCCACTCGTAAACCGTTGACAGAAACATCGTAATGTTACGAAAATGAAAAATCCTCGGAAATTTCCTCCTAACATTACGAGAGCCCAGACCCTCTCGTAACTTTAATATTAAGATGAAAATAACACATTTAGACTAAGAATTACAATTATAGTGATATTAGATTGTATATTAATGAGTAATATGGGTGTTTTTCTTGAAAAACACGTCACAAACATTAATTATCTACCGTCGTAAAACAAAACACAACATTTACAATTTGGCGTATGGCATTTGTTCTCGTTTTAAATACTTTTACACTGACCACGACTCTCGCGTCTCGTATTACAGTGTGAGAATTTGTCTTGTTGTGCAGAATAAATTCAAGACCGTGTCATTTTTCATCAAATAATATTTATATGTGGTTAGCCATCATAATATGCATAAATTATTGTGATGTACAATAAATGTGTATGAATTTGAATTTTGTGATCGATTCTCATCCAATCAGCAGCCAGGCTTGTGACATCAAATTATGAAGTTCCTGTTATCGTGAGTTTCCTAATAGCTGCGATGTGTTTCTGTCAACACTCCTCTCGTAACATTAACATTAGTCGTAAGTGTTATCTTAGCATTACCATTAGCATTAACTTTACGATGTTTCTGACAACGGCCCCCTAAGCATTATCATCTATTCCTACCTTGAAATTCTCTGCATTCTCTGGTATGTCATCTTTTAAAATGGTGACGCGAAATTTCTGACGCGTAACTCCGCCGCTGAACGTCAGGCTTTGGTTGCGTGCTATGTAATCAAGTCCTTCGTGCGCACTGCCTGCTATCACACTCAGTAAGACAGACGCACCGCCTTGCACGGGGCCGGTTGGAGTGACACCATCCATTTCCAGTCCTCTAAGAACGTCGATTTCGATATCGTGCGTTCCACCCAGCTCGTCAACAGCAAACGTAGACTGTGCAAACCGCAATGGAGCATCATTGGCGCTGATGATGATTGGCACTTCGGTCTTGTTGGCGGCAGGATTGATTGACGCACCACCGGACGCGGAGTTTAGTACGACGCGGAAGGTTTCGGTGTTCTCCGGAAGGTCGTCAGGTTGGACATACAGTGTGAGCAGCAAGTTCTTCTCCCCAGCACGAAACAAGATGCTACCCTGGGCGGGCGATATGTCGTCTGCCACATCCTCACTGCCATCTTCTGCAAACACCTACACCAAAACAAGATTCTACTTACAAACAAATTAACAGGAAAAAACCACAGACATAAAGGGACTGGGTACAAACAAGTCCAAGCCTATACTAGAGCTATAAAATTTTAAAAGGCAAATTAATATATACTCCATTTTATGTATGCTACCACGTGAAATATTGACAGAGATTGGGTTATTTCTTATATAGCACAACTTTAATCCCATATTTAATATCATAATTACTGCTCTGTTATTGTTCTAACAATGAACTTTATCTAACAATGAACAATTTACATCAAATAGAGTACTACGACTACTATACAACTACCGTACTCTTCTGATTAAATAATTGATTCGTTTGTTGCACAGTAGGGTTATGACTCAGAACACGGAATAACAAAACTGTTCGTTACCACGCTGCTATGACTAACTGCACACGCCGAACAGTCTCATTAATAAATTAAGGTAAAATCAATTGATGCTGATTACCGGTCAATGGAACACTGTACAAGTAAGACTACAATCCCGATTCTGGAGCAGGCTCGGCGTAAAAAGCACATACGTAGCACATGGCCTATGAAAATTGTACCTTTGTAAATTTTTTAAATTGCAATTTTGTACTCCACTACAATTTTTATTCTGCAGATAACACAAATAGATTATAGAGATTTATTAGAAATATTACAATGATATATGCAACTACCTTTGATATAGTACATAATACATATCATAATCTTGGTATTAAACATAATATATATATATATATATATATCAGAAGTAGATAATAGGGAATTCCCTATTATTTACTTCTGATATATATGTATATAGACCAATTATTAGTTTTGAAATTAATATATTTTTTTATAATGTTTAATATTCAGTACAAGTATACTCCCGTGGATATATCTATTACTGATCTATATAAACACACAGCCATGGAGAACTAGGTAAAAAGCCTGTACAATAGTATCGCATGATAGTAGCAATGTATCCATAGAGAGATTTGGCGCTTCACCTGAACTACCAGGTTCCATAGTAGGTCACATAGTTACACTCCACCTGTAAGCAACCTGGAGTCTGTATAACCTCATTAACTCAATGAGTTGAGTACTGTATATTGTAATTAATTCTACACCAACAGATCAATTATTGACACCACCACTACGATGCAATCACGTACTCCTGCTGCAGTGAATGACCCTCTTCATCCAACATGTTGTTTTGAGATACAGTTGCTTAGGGATGTAGTGCGTATTTATATTCTTAAATTTCTGCTTACTGCTTGCTAGAGGCGAAATGTTTCTTTGTGGAACAGCTATAAATTATCTACTTTTTGTAGAAACTACAAAACTCGAAAAATTTCCAATTCTAGAATGGTGTTTTGTTCTATTGGCGATATAGAATATAAATATGGCTTTTATGGCTTTATGGAATATAACCCAGTTGTATATTAAAGTTTCATTAAAAAATGTAATTTGTGACATGCTTAGTTATAGACACTAATAACGTAAGTGGATCAATCATGCATTACTTACAGTTATAAACTAAACAAAAATTATTGTAACACGTACGTTTGTTACACCAGAGTGTATTATATAATAGAATTTAGAATTTAGATATATATGTAAAGATATAGATGTACACAATATCTTACCTGGTAGTTCACAGTCACATTGTCAAATGTCCCTCCATCTCTCTGTACAGTGAACACTACAGGTGTAGGACCACTAGGACTCTCTGTCACTGTTACTGGATCAGTCTGTAATGGAAAAAGCCCATAAAAGAATAGTTAGATTAATTTAGTAATTAAAAAATATCCCATTATTGCAATGTTACGTTTATTAATCATTCATAAAGATATACTAATTAAACAATATATATAAAATAATAATATAACAGTTTTCACTATGAAATCACTAAAAATCTGCAATACTTCACAGAAAAATCAAGAAGTTACAGTAAGGAGAAAGGTACATGCCTGTAGGAACCTAAACTGCCCGTACGCATCATCACTGGCTCTAATTACAACAGTCCCTGAACTTGGCTCAACAACCTTTGCAATATTTCGCGGTGCTTGCGCTCTCAGTTCCACCCTGCATGAAAGATCATACATGTATAGAAACAACTGTAATGATAATGTGAAAAATAGTAAATCAAAATGCTCCTATAATGTAATGCATTAGGCAACAGGGAAATTAATAATAATTAATGACAATATTTAAGACACTATCATTAATTATTTGCATGATGCTGTAAGTGACATATAGCAGACAGTCTGCACATCATGGATGAGCAAAAAATGTGTGATAATTATTATAATATATATCTATTGTTCGAATCTCAAATACCAACAATTTAAAACACCTCTGCTCTCAATATATGACACACAGGGTATAGACGGAAGAGAAGGGGGGGGGATGGAAGAGATGACATACCGAAAGAAGACAACGGAGTTATTGATTCGATTATATTTATTTAGCACCATCAAACACATAAATATATATAATTTTTATAATAGTAAGTATAGTTTAGGCACAAGAGGAAGACATGAGGATAGAACAATGCTGAACAAATGAATGGGGAGGTAGAGCAGAGTGATGTGGGAAGTCAAGAAGGTGGAGGATGGGGAGATGCAGAGCAGGTAGAGAGTCTAACAACTAAGTACTATAACTCTATAAGACAGTGATTTATTTTGATAATTTGTGTATCAGTAAAAGCCACTACTAGAATGTATATCAAAACCTAATGTTTCTGATGCCTAGATAAATATGCAATGCATAAATGGGATGCAATGGGGGGAGCAATATGAAACTGCCCACGCTCAACTGTCCAGAATGGAAACCGCTTGTTGCATTTCCTGTGCGGGCAAGTTAGTTAGGCACGGGTCGTTGTCGTATAATGGCGTATAATATGTACCTGAGGTAACTATCTGATATGGTTAGGGTTAGGGTTAGGGTGTAGGCGTAGGCGACATACTTGCCGACACCTCGAGTACTACATATACGACAACGACCCCTTCAGCGTTAGTTAGGGCTCTGCAATGCCCTGTTAGTGAATACATATATATAGTACTATAGATCAAGCATGTTTAATTACACTGGCGTGTAACTCAAACGTTATATTATAGTATACAAAACTTTATAAACGTTCTAAAATAAGAGACTATGCTAAATACCTAAACTGTTCTTCCTTCTCAGGTATATGGTCATCAAATGGTGTAAAAGTAGCATGTTTTACAACAGGTCCAGATCCTTGATCAAATTCAACTACTTGGCTGGTGCCTGCAAAATCATTGCTTGCCGTCGCATTGGCAATCAACTGGAACGTAGATTGTAAGCATGCATCAGAGAACAATATATAAATCTTGTGCAACAAAATGCAATTGAAATTTCAATTCCATACACGAAATATGTACAACAAATAATACAACACTATAATCACGTAATTACGTTGACCAGCAATATATTCACATGTTATCTTATCAGGCACACAATAACCAAAGACATATTGTACTATGCACTAATCATATCACATTAATTAATAGGCTTCTCAGTTATGCTGAAAGGGTCTATATGTCTCCCTGGGTACGGTACTGCCGGAACGTACCCTGGGTACGGTCCGGTATACCAGAACGTACCCTGGTAACTATCTGATATGGTTAGGGTTAGGGTTAGGGTTATAGGGTTAGGGTTAGGGAGTAGGCGTAGGCGACTGAGACACTCCCTAGACTCGTTAGTGGAGTAGGCGAGGTACGGTCCGGCATATTAGATAGTAGGTCTACCAGGGTACGTTCCGGTATACCGGACCGTGCCCAGGGTACGTTCCGGCAGTACTCAGGGAGACGCCCCTGGCACCCTCAGTTACATAGACCCTGGCAGCCTTACAATTTTACATAGTACCCTGGCAGCCTCAGTTACAGGTACAATAATGTACAGCACAGTAGGCCTACAGTACAATAATGTAGGTACAGCTAGTACAGAGAACATTACTGTTATTAGGAGGTACCCTACTCTATTAGGTTACTTGATTCTTGGAAAATAATCATTCTGAATGATTACTCCAAGCTTGATTGTATCTACGGTACAGACAGAAATAATAACACGCAGGCAGTTTGCATATTTTGTCGCGCTTACCACAACAACGTAGAAAGGAGCCGAGTTTTCGCCAGCTTTTCTGACGGTGACGTTGAACTGCACGCCTTCATCTACGTAGAGTGGCACGGGGTCCAGACTCACAATCGCTTCGCCGGCACATGAGGTCAAAATAGCGCCTAGCAGGCACAATCCCGCCAACAACTTACAAGACATTGCTCACTGTATCATGCGTGTGTGCAAATGTCGTTGCCTGCAACCAAAATCACAAGGTAATAATAGGTTACAGCAACAGCTAGCAGACAGGTGTATTGATTATGAAAACAGGTAAACGCCGAAGAACTGCATGCATAGAAAACGCACAGTACTTCAGCGTTTCTAATCCCATTCAGTTCACGGAAAATCGCTTGAACGGCCAATAACAATGGCGTGGACGTCCATGCATTTCCAGAAAAATTAGGATGTCTAAGAAACCTATAATACATCTAGCTCTCATACCACAATGCTCATTACTTGCCGACCTCACTCACACCTCTCTCGTTCATCCACATTTACTCACATAGAAGAATATTAAACGGTCATACGTGGAAACACGCTGTCTCGCAGCCTAGCTGGTGGCCCTAGCTGGTGGCACGCACGCACGGCATTCTACGGCTCGCATTTTACCTCGTGATAGAAACGGTCCGTAAAGCTCATAATGTCTATGTCCCCCAGGGTACTGCCGGAACGTACCCTGGTCACTATTTGATATGGTTAGGGAATTAGGATTAGGGTTAGGGTCAGGGGCGCAGCTACGGGGGAGGCCTGGGGGGGGGGTTTTCACTACCAGTGGCGTAGCTAGGATTTTTTCAGCAGGGGGGCACTGGGGGGACCTTACATTTTTCGTCGGGGGGGGGGGGGGCACGAATATATAACTTTTCTTTGTATTATACTGTCTAAGGCATAGTTTTTTAATTCAATTTTTTTTTTATCAAGTCGCAGGAATTTTCAGTGGAGGGAGCACGTGGGTGACGAAATCGCCGTGGAAATCGCCATTGTCCACTCAATCGCCGCTCGATGTCACATCGCTCCGATTTTCATCTGGCCGATTTCATCGCATAATCAAAACTTTTGATATATTTATTATCGGTGTCCGATTTTGTCGCCCCGTACTTATTCATCGCCTATGTGTCCGGGGCCGGCGATAAAATGTTCCCGAATGCCCAATTCATCAGCAATCAGAGTTGTTCAACTGATACTGAGACGTAATAAGCGATGTTGCATGTAGTAATGTCATGTCATTAATACGCGATGCACGGCACGCGACACACCATGCAACGCACGCGTAACTTGCACACGCACCCAGCACTGCAGCGTGTAGCGTGGCCACAGCACACGCACGCAACGTACTACGTGCACATCAGCCACAGCGACGCACGCAAGCGTCTACGTGCACATGCATGCACGCGCACGCACGCACGTGTACCCTGCAGCACACACGAAAGCGACGCACGCACGCACACCTGCACACAACGAATGTACCGTGCATCACGCAGCAACTACGGCACGCACCGAACTGTACGGTCACAGTCCACTGCCGGCACGTACGCACGCAACTGCATGCAACGGCCAGGTGAACGTAGCACCACGCACGTGCAGGCACGTACGCACGCACGTGTACGTGCACACGCACGCATGCGCACCAGGTGAATCGTGCAGCACTCACCGCAGGCACAGCACCGTGTACGTCACAAGATTTGACCACGCACGTCCAACTCATGTACCAACGTGTAAGGTGCACACGCACAGCCACCTGCACCAGCACGAACAGCACGTGGTACGTACAATCACGGCACGCGCACGCACGCACGCAGCGCACGTTGCACGCACGTGTACTTTGCACACGACACGCACAGGCACGCACGCACGCACGCACGGCTCCTGCACGCACTGGCATGAACTGCAAGCAGCGTGTAACGTGCACACCACGCACCGGACGCACTCTACGCACATGCATGCACGACTTATCACGTGATCGGCGATTTTACATCGCGCTCGATTTAATCGCCTAGTGTTCCAGTCGCATTCGCGATGGGCGATAGAATGAGGGCGATTTGTCGCCCGATTTTATCGGCCCGATTTAATCGCCTAGGTGTCCCGGCCCTTTACTGCCATCCCACACATAACACGACACACGCCCGCCACTGATAAATTAATAAAAGAAAAGGAAAATAGATCATTCGCTCTGTGCGCACGCATTTCACCGCAACAACGCCAGCGAACGTCAGGTCCGCGAACAAAACAAGCAGGATATGGTGTTTGCGAGGCACCCTCCCACCATAGGACGATGAGTGATACTTGTCCCAGAGGCCAAGATGCCGCAGAGGAGGGCAAGCTTCAGCGCACGGTCGAGGCATCTCTGTAGGTATATTGGGCGTTGGTGATCTCGACCCATTCTGTTACAGCTCTTGAAACCTGCATGCAGCTCGTGAAGCTGCCTGTCTTGCGTTACGAAGTCAACAAGTAGCTGGTCAAGCAGCCAAACTGTCGTCGCAGCCGATCCAGCGATCGACCAGAACCAGCTGCCGTTGACCCTTCTCTCTCCCTTCTCTCTC